TATTCTAAATATAAACATGTTATTATTAATGAACATTGTTATATTTTATTAAAATATTTGAACATAATATTATATTATATATAATTTAGAATTTTATGTATATAATAGATATTAAGAATCTATAAATAAAGTTATATTTTAATTTTTAGTTTTATAAAATTATAATATTATATTTATTTAATATTTTTATATTTAATAATAATAATTATTATTATTATTATTATTATTATTATTATTATTTTATTAATATCAATTCGGTCATTTTTCATTCACAAATCTTAAATTAGTGTCAACCAATTTTGAAAATATTACTTATTACAAATAAAATTTTAGCATTATTATCAAGTTTCACTATACTCTTATTAAAATACTTATTATTAACTTTAATTTTATTATCTTTTTTTTAATGATTATATCCTATGTATATATTTAATATAAAATTTTAATTTATACATTTATACATAATTTATCAATATACTTCAATTATATAATTTAAAAATAATTTCTAAATAATCAGAATAATTAAAAATAATTGTTTTTAATTAAATATTATTATAATTATAATTATAATTATTAATTTAACTAAATTGTGTTATTTCTCTTCCAATCACACAAATTGTTTCATATATCATGCTTTTGAACAAAAAATTTATTTAATTTTTCGTTATATAAATCTACCTAAAACATTCTCTTACAAAGTGATTAACTTTAATCACATACATACACACGAGTGCGGGCGCGCGCACACATATATATATATAGGGAGCATATCAAGTGAGAAGAATTTATTATGAGAGGGTGAGAGGGCGCACGCACGCACACATATATATATATATATATACGGAGCATATCAAGTGAGAGAAATTTATTATGAGAGGGTGAGAGGGTTAAAAATATATATATCTGGAGTACGTTGGAGGCACCTCAAAGGGTGAGATAGCTGGCGCCAAGATTTAACGCAGCTGCATACACAAGACATGATTCGAACCCTTGACCTTGCTTAAGCGTGGATCAACCCCTACCACTGAACCACACGCTTAGGGTTATATATATCCTAATTTAAATATTCTTATGTTTAAAATTAATTTTAATATCTTAACAAATACTCACTAATATTAAATATCAAGTATAATCTTTCACATTCAATTATGTATCAAGTTTTATATTATTTTAATTTATTTTAATATTTTTAACTCTAAATTCATTTTGTATTTTTAATAACATTGTAACAATAAATGATATTTAAATTTCAACCATATTTTACAAGGAATAAATACACATCATAAAAATTTTAAAATAATTATAACAAGTGATACTTATAAATTAATATATCAAACATTGCAATGATTTTTTCTTTATAGCTACTTTTAGTATAGATTTACTCATTCATTAATCTTTCTTTACAATATTTTGAAATTAGTTCAATTTGATAAAAAATATTTTAAAAGGTTGATAATAAAATTGTCTTAACATGTATAAAATTATTAACATACAAAAATTATCTTTGGTGACAAAGTAACTTACACATTTTTAAAAATATCACAAAATTTTATGATTCTTTATACTAGTGATGAAAGAGCAAGTTTTGTCACTAAATTTCCCACAATTACATTAATCTATAATAAAGTAATATCACTTTAATATAAAAATCTAATTATTATTATATTTTTCATTTTTCAATTCAGATAGTATTAATTCACTTCATACATATGTGAAGTAAATGTAAATATATCATATTCATTTTACATATATAAAGCTTATACTCTTCTTATTTTAATGTATATTTTACAATTATTTAATTTTATAATTTTATGTAATATTTTTTAGAATACTTTTATTTTAAAATTATATCTTATACTTTTATATATAAATATGCGTATAGTGCAGATCAATATCTGGTTAATACGAAGGTGAGAGAGACTTAATCATTCCTTACCTTAATCTTAAGCATACATATTGAAGGGAAAGCACTTAGTACAGAAACTGGACGACCAAGATCCGCTCCACAGATGTGAGGAATTTGCAGTTCCAACTGCCTCACATTATCGAATACTGGGAGCCCTTCAATAACCCCCTGAGAGTGGCATCATAACAGAAAAATATTCACTACAACAAAAAGACACATAAATGAAAAGAAACAAAGAATATAACCTACTTAATTACTGACCACAGTATATGTAGACAAATTCAATTTCAGAACATGAACCTGCAACAGTACTCCAAAAAAATCTTCATCGTGCATGTTTGCTTGCAGATAACTAGCATAACGCCCTCCAAAGGAGGCTTCCTCAAGGCTTGGAACACTTTCAAAGTTAAACTTTCCATAATCACCAGAGTACCTAAATGTCATGAGATTTTCAGCACAAATATCAAGATACAAAATATTGCACTCAACTAACTCCAAATGCTTCAGCCTCAGTCCTTGGCCCCAAACTTTCAATCGCACAAGGCGTGTGGATTCTGTGACACGTATTGTTTCAAGCAGTGGACAAGTTGCTAAAAAGCACTGGAGGACTTCACCATTCACGTCCACACAAGCCAAACGCAGCACTCGCAGTGACTTCATTTCAAACTTCTTTGATGACAACACATTACGAATGTTGTCACTTATTCCATAGAATGGTTCAGTGAAGTGATACGTAAAATCCAGGTCCAACACTTGAACATTCCTCTCTGAGGCAAACTTAAGCCACTCAGGTAGCTTCCTAGGGTTACCCAAATCCATGCAAACTCTGAGTCCTTGCATGGAGGGGCATTTGAGTGATTTCATGACATGTTCCAAACGAGCCATGAACTTCTCCCACTCAGAAACAAAAAAAATGCACTTGGTCAAAAGTCCAACGTGTAATCTACGCAAGACATAGCTCCTAAGTGAGTGATCAAAGTCCACGACCCCAGAGAAATGAGTCCATTGATATCTCCATGTAGTTGAGAGCACGCTAGTTCTACCAGCTTCTTTCATTGTCAAACGAGATAAAATATTCCCAATGATCTCATTCGGCATAGTGCTTATGAAGTCCCTCATTTCAAATCTGTTGCTAGTGATGTTTCTTGATCCTTCGTTTGCTATGTTACCCTGCGTCATTTTCTCCCTGACAATAACCCAATTCAATTGAAAAAATATTCGTGAACATGAACTAGCTAAATTAATTTGTCCAAAACAGTTTTGCTTGAAACTCGCGATCTGTATGTAGTAAAAGTAGGTCCGAGATTTTGTGAGCACTTATAAGAAACTTATCAATAACCAACCAATATAACAATAACACTAATAATACTTTGGCATATCAACTAAAATGCACATAATTTTCTCGTGACTTGATGGTGTCTTCCCTTCTCATTGTTCTCCCTCCAATTCATGATTTTCATTCACACTCATATGCTCCAGCCCCACCATATACAGGGAATACAGCGGACTCTTCAACAATGCAGGCACCACACTGGACTTGCCTATCAAAGCATTGATATCTGACAATTCTTCATCAATAGTTTGTATTTTTCCTGTTGTGGGGTGGTGTGGCGGGAGAGTGCAATGGTACATGATGGAGGAGAGTTGGAGAGGGAGGGACAATGAAGAAAGGAGGAGGGGAAAAAGAACGCCAATTTGGAACCGTAAACAGAAAGAAAATCATATGCATTTTTAATTCATGTGTCAAAATATTATTGGTGGGACAAGAAAGTGAGATAGGTTATTTCCATCCCACAATGAACAAGTTTGAGTATAAGTTAAAAATATTTTAAAGGATTTTTATCAAAAATAAAGTGTTTTCTAGTATATAAACTCTAAAAACATTTTTAAATTTGTAACCAAATACAGTTTACCTATAAATTCCCTAAAATCAAACTCTATATTGACCATTATCAACAAGAAGTTAGGTTAAACATATGTAACCTAACCTATTTATATATGCTTTAAAAGAGAAATAAAAAAGATACAATAGACTCTTTGAAATACAACAATATTTATATATCATTAATTATTCCTTTTTTAAAAGTTTAACATGAGCCAAAGTCTATTTAAAAAACTATTTCAACATAAACCTATTTTTTAATAAAGATTTTTTACATTATAATGGAAAATAAAATAATGTGCGTAACGAATTTAACAAACTTTATATGGTTTTAAAATATTTTTAATTAAATTAAATTTTTAAAAAGATCGACCTAATTTAATAAATAATACAAATTAATTATATCTATTCTCATTTATAATTTACAGTTTAGAATTTAGTATTTAAATTAAAAGTCTTAATAGATCAATTTTAATTAATTTGACGGTCTTATTTGTAAATGTTCTAATATTAAATTTGATTATGTTATATCAATAAAAAGAAATTATAAAACATCTCTAAATATTTTTTTATTTAAAATGTTATGCTTTGCTTATACGTAAATATTTAGATATGGTTCGAACTACATATATATTAAACCAAATTGAATAAACTTAGTTCATAAGCACCTTAACCCAAACAAATAAAAAAAATTACCCTAACACTTAAAATTAGGATAAAAATAAATTAGACTTTAAATATATAGTTCAACTCTGTCCTATAAAATTAAAGTTTAAATCTGATTTATTATTTGTTATAAATTTTTTTATGAGTCTAACCTAACTTATTAGTCTATTTAAAAGTTTATTTTACGTTAATAACATTAAATAATTTAATAAATTTAATTTTAAATAAGTTAATAATTATAATTTTAAATACATGCATGAATCTTTTTTTTAATTAACACGATAATTTTTTTTAATTTGCATAATAAAATAGTTTACTTTATTATTATTATTAACATAAAAGAAGATAATCTTATCAGAAAACCATTCTAAATATTCTCTATATCTCATTTAAAGTATTTTAAATAACTAACTATGAAAATGAAGGGAAAAAGCAAGTAAAAATAAAGCTACCAAAGTTTTCATTTACAACTTTTTTTAATATCGTATGAACAAAAAATGTAAATCGTTTAAGTGCTGTGAAAATGACATTAGAGCAAGTCCTTTATCTAAGGACGACGTTTAGAACCAAGTGAAAACTGGTGGACTTGTAACAATTTGGACACATCGAAAAGAGAGTGATCCAAAGATTGTAAAGTGTGGTACTATATATTCAAGGATGAATAAATTAATTAATATTCCATATAATTTTTTAGTAATTTATTACTTAAGAACTTCTTAATTAAGTGTGTTTGATTTAAAACAATTTAGGGATATGAATGACCTCCTAGAAAGTTTTCTAAAAAAGTGTAAATGAAGATAAATATGTCAAAATGTCTTATGTTGATTTATGGGATAATAGTTGACCCAAAAAAAAGTGACTAGAAATCTCATAAAGGGTTATCTATAAAAGATTATGATTGTAAAGAGTTTTGATCAAAGAAAAGTTGAAACATCAAATCTGATGAGTGTTACAAATGGTATGAATAGTAAGTCCTTTCTCCTAGTATGATGTAATTTGGAGACAAACCAAGCGAAAGTTGGTGGACTAGTAACATCTCACTATCCTAGGCACACTAAAATAAAAGAGATTCAAAGATTATATAAGTATAATTAAATGTCCCATTGTATATTAATTTTGATCAACAAAATTAATTAAAGTGAACTAAGTGGAGTGTTGTAAAATGTAGTGATGAGAAAGAGTATTATAAAATAATTTTCATAAAGCCAAAATAAAAAAAATAAACAAAATCAATTTCAATCATCTTCCAATTTGAAGAAAAATGAAGCGTGAACTCGTATCTTTTTTCACCCGACTTATTTTATTATAGCAACTTAAACAAACACACTATAAAAACAAGTTGATAGGTTAAAGGCCCCCAACATGCTCCACCCAAAGAAAGGAGTTAAATAGATTGGCCTCACAAGTTTAACCTGGTTTGCCAATCTTGATGTGGATAAAATCCTAGTAAATTGCTAGTAACAACATAGTGATTGAACTTCACTTGGAGGACTAAACCCATCATGCTATTTTTGGCAGGTTAAGCAGGTTGTGTTTATTTTATCGATAATATACATTTTTAAATAACTAAATGGAGAAATATGTGAGAGAAAATTTTTAAATAAAATTATGTTTATCTTCTCAAAACTCAAAACTAAGTATGCTCTTAACTTGTCCAATTATCCAACCCACTTTCTACTAGACAACTGGTATATGAATTTCATTATAAAACTTTTTTAAGTTTTTGTGGTATGAACTGATATTGGAATTAGATTCTCTTTTCCCTCTCATTTCTCTTAACTAATATTTTAAAGAAAAATCTATGTTAAGTTTTATAAAACTGAGAACAAAACTAAGCGATACACGAAAGAGTATAAAACTTACCTGGGAAGAGTTCTTGATACAAAGGAGAAATCTACCATTGATTGAAGTTCTTTGTCTCAATCTCAACAAAAAAAATGTTAGAGAAAACTCAAATATACAAAATGGAGAACCTTTTTTCTTAATATAACAGAGCATACTGATAAGAAAAAACTGACAAATTCAGTAATGTATATTTAACCTGTAATATTAATTATTTTTAATAAATATATTTTTTTAAAATGATTGTTTGATTGTAAAATTGCAACTATTTCTCTCTGAAAGGAAAAAATGCAATGAATTAAAAGGACATTATGTATTTTTGATAAAATAGCATTATTTTGTATAAGGATTTAAATAAATGCAACAATCCAAATTAATATTTAATGCAATGCTTTTTTATACAACATTGTACTGCCATGATCTTTTTATAAAAAAAACAATGATAGTGTACACACTAATTTGTCCTTTAATTTTTTTTTTCTTTAACTACATTTCTTCAATGTCACTGAGTAATTGTTATAGGATCTCTATAAAGTTTTCTTCACTCTAACTCCCTTTTAGATTCACCTTACTTATCACCGGTTCATTCACTTATCAATTTTTTTTTTCATCATTCATATTCATAGTCTATTGGCACATGTAATGCTTATTGTTAATAATTTTATTGTATTTTATTTTACTTTTTTATGCTCTCTACAATTTTCTTACATATGAAAATTTATGTGAACTTCATCCAAACAAATTGAATAAATATAGCAGGTTTTATAATTTATTTCTCTCTTTTATATTTTCTTATCAACATTTCAATGAGTTAATTTATGATTATTTTTGAAAACAACTTATTTTCTTGCATCAATTATTTAATTGTTAAGCAACACAAAGAAAGAAAATCTTGAAACATCAAAGGAGTAAAATGTTTTGTTAGCCTGGTTATATATTGTCTTTCTCAATTCATTTTACAACAAAATATCATCTCTTTATTTATAAAATTGATTGTAATTTTCTCGATACATCATTAAAAAAATATTTTAATGCTATAAAAGTTTGAAATAAGATATAAGTGTATGATGAATAATTTAAAATTATAATAAATAATTTATTTTTCATAGAGATAATATTATATATTAACATTAGTAGTAATGACTTCAAATATCATATACATTAATTATAATAAATTCAATAAATATATCAAACTCATTATTATATACATTAGTTTATAAACTCTATATAATCAATGTTTTTATTATAAATTTAAAATAAAAATATTTTAAAACTATAAAAAAATACACTTAAACACATTAATTAAAATAATAAACACATAATTATTTTTTAATTATATTTATTAATTATTAAAATATAAATTGTGTTTTAGATTAAATATCTCATGCATCGCACATGTAACCATACTAGTTATTTGAAAAATCGTAAGTTAATAATACATTTTAAAAAAAACTAAATATTAAATGTTATGATGTTAATTTTTAAACTTTAATTTATTTTCATCCCAAAGACTTAATTATATTTATCACGCCACAGATATTGATTTTTAAGTTTTGATGTTGATGCATGACCTATCACCTCTTAAGTTGTGTGGCATTTAGTAGCATGAAATATAGAGATGAAAAATAAAAAGCAAAATAAATGAGGTTTAATAATAAAATAAAATTGTTAAAGTAAATACAAATGAAAAGTATTTATATACTTATCTTTAAGTGTCATATCACTTATGTGAGGTTAATGTTAAAATTTAATGATCAACAAATGCTAAATTAGTGGTTGGACAAAGAATTTATTTATTTTAAAAATTAGAATGATTAGGTATCTCTATTTTAAAATATAGGGAAAAAAATTACATATTAAAAAAGTTTTAAATAATTATCTAATCGAAATATATAAGATTTAGGTGGTGAATAATTAAGGATATTTTATTTTCTTCTAAATAAAGAATATTTCAAAATTAATTAATTATTATGTATTATTATTTAATTATAACATACGAGTCATTAACCGTAGTTAAATGCGGGTACAGATTTTTAGAGTTTCTCTGTATATATGGATTAATGAGACTATGTTTGCCTCTAATAATTAATATGTGCTCTTTTGATCTAAATAGGAGGGAGAATCATGGACAATCAAATACGATCTCAAAGATCTGCACCCAACGTTTGATGTCCATTCAACAAGGTAAAGAAATTGACCTTCAATCGTGTATACTTGCTTGTAATTGTGAATTTATGAGCGATTGTGGTTCTCGAAGGATCCTAAAGATGAAATAAACTTAACGAATAAAAGTAATGAATATGAATATGTGAAATTAATGTTGGGTTCTAGTAATTGATGGTATAACAAAGCAGTTTTAAACTTTAATTTATGTTTTTACTGATTGGATTTGGAGAAGTGAGTTTGATTGTGAGTTGAGTTTTGTTCTATGAACTATGAATGTGATAAATGTTGAGATATATGGTATAGTAATTATTGTATTTTGATATTAACTATAATTGCACATTTGTTGTTTATTTGTGTGAGACTACTCAACCATAACTTGCATCAATAGCTTGGATGAGATTTCTTTATCTGTTGTTTGTTTTTGCGTATGCTCGTAGGTGAAACTAATTATGAAAATGACGAGAAGGTTTAAACCTTGTGTTGAAAGTGCTATGAAAGGATATGACATCAGAGTAATGGATAAGAGCTTATATTTTTCTACTAGTTATCTTATATTAGGACTAGTATTTTGTTAGTTGAATTTGTTTTAGTATCAAACTCTTATTTTCTTGTAATTTGGTTCCAAATTTAGCTTTATTTACTGATGAGTTTTGTTTTATGATGTGACACTTCTACCTAGGTGGTTTAATTTTTTACTTAGTAAAATAAATTGAGCAATGCCTTTTAAAAATTATTGAAATGAATACTATAATAGCATGTAGAGTAGAGAATGTCACAAAATAAATAGTACATATATACAAAATTGACACATAACATAAAAAGTGTTTTATAAAATTGTAAGTTACTAAAAAGTGTTTTTTCCTCCAAAATATATGTTATAATATTCAAAAGGTATTTTATAAAATTATAAACTACTAAACTAAATTTCAGAATAAAAAACAATAAAATTATTTATAATGTTTGAAATTAAATTTTTTATATGACAAACTATATATACGAGAAATAATATTTATTATGATAAATTAAATTATATTAAAGAAATGTTTTTACTAAAAAAATAAGTTAAGAATTTGTATTAAATACATTAAATGACTAAAATATTTTAGTATTGATATACTTTTAGTTTTATTTTTGACATATGATCTTGAACAAATAATAATATAATATTAAAAAAATTTAAATAACAAATTTAAAAATTGCAAAAAATAAACTAAACCAAACTATAAAATATTAATTTGGTTTAGTTTAGATTTTATAATTTATTCAAATTAAACTAAATCAAATCACACTTAACTTTTTTATTTGGTTTGAATGACTTTTAAGATTAAAAAAATATCGGATCAAAATGTACCGTACATAAACACTCCTAAATTTGTTTAGCTATTGTTAACAAAACCTTAATATAAGTTTTACAAATAATATCCGCAAAACTTAAATAATCAATAGAAAATATTTAAATATTCTAATTTAATGTTTAATTGAATTTATTATTACAAATTTTTCATCCTTTCATAGAATTTTGGATTTATCCCTGTTTATCATTTAAAAAATGGTATAATATGATTGATAAATAATTATACTCCCTACGCACATAATTATAAAATATAAATAAATTTCATGTATGCATGAAAAAGTATTTATCAAAAAAATCAATTTCTTAAATGAATGTACATAATTTAATGAATTAGTATCTGACTTTCAATTGAAAAATACTTTGGGCAATAATATTTTTTTCATAAATTTAAAAGGATAATTTTAGTAATAAAAAATGAAGGTGTGGTTTAGTAATTAGTAGAAGTGTAAATAATAACATCATCCGCCATTCGTGGATTGATAGTTGATGGGCCGGCAGTTATTGATAGTGGGCCAATATGCGGCCCAATAGGAAAGTGTTGTGAAAACGGAGTTAGTTCAGTTATGATCCTACTACAACAAGCAGTTATGATAGCAAAGAGAGAGTGAGAGTGCAGTTTTGTGAGCAAAATGGGGGAACCTCTTTCAAACACCGAACTCTCTCCCTCTAAAACCCTAGACCCAACCAACGGCCCCGATTCCATTTTAGATTCCAATCTAACGGCTCCACAAGACGCTCAACTCAATCCAGAAAACCACGATGTCGTTTCGACCGCCAAGCGGAAGAGGGACGACGAGCGTTCGCTCCATCCACTGTGGAAGACCAGCCTCTGTTCCTACTTCAGGAGCCATAACGCCTCCTGCAGCCACGGCGGCGCGTGCCGATACGCGCACGGCGAGGAGGAGCTCCGCCCTCGCCCCGACAACACGTGGGACCCGACCTCCAAGCGCGCGAAGAAGGCCTTAGAGGCCGAGGCCGACGAAAAGCGCGCCGTCTCGGAGGACGTGATGATGACGGAGGCCGTCGTTGACGGCGGCGACGACGACGACGGTTCCGGCTCCAATCGCGCGCTTAGTAAATGCTTGGTGCATTTGCCGCGGAAATGGAGCTCCGAGAATTTGAGGAATTTCCTCAACGAAGAGGCGAGCATGTTTGGTTATTTGATTATTTTCGAGTTTCTGATTTTCAATTTCAATTCACTCAGCATTTTCAATTTGATAATTGCTTGTTTCTCTTTTCCAGGGTGTACCTTTTAAGTTTGCTAAGAAAAAGAAAGGAATGATGATTGGTTTTGTTACCTTCGAAGACGAAGAACAAATGAAGAGTTCATCAAAGGTAGTTTTATTTATGTCTAATGATCCGTTTGCTTTGTCTTTTCATTGGTCTGCATTGTAATTCGGACTTGATGGTTTAGGGTTATCAATTTAACAGGATTTAGATGGAAAAACAATTGGCAATAAAAAGATAAAGGTTGCTGATGTCATTCCTCGATCATTTAAAAAGAAAAGTAGCGCCAATGTTGCATCCCATCAAGAATTAGCTGAGGAGAATACAGGGGCTGATGTCCCTTCAAGTGGGACTATGGATGGTGAAACGAGTAATGATAAGTTGGCTGTTGATGGTTCTGTGACAAAGACAAGAAACGTGCGTGATGCAGTTACTCCTCTAGCTCATATGGCCTATGCTGATCAGTTGGAGCAGAAAAAAAGCTCTCTCATGCAGATTCTCAAAAAACTTGTTAGTCATTGATTGTTTCTGTTTTATCATTGTAATTTTGTCAATATACACGTTTATTACTTTTATAAAGAATCAGTAAACTAAACTATTAATTTTTTTCCTGACAGACTAGAAATGCTCGGAAAGCTTGTCCAAATGGCGTTTCACTTCCTGAGTGGATTCTCAAATCTAGGGAAATAGGTAGTGTGTTATTTTATAATCTGCGAAGTTCCTTCAGATCTTCTAGAACAGTTTTAATTTATAGTTTTGGGTTTTAGCACTGTATGATGGTGTTATTTTGAGATATCTGATACAGATGTTGTCTTCATAATTTAGTGCACCCCCTATATTCTCTTCTTGTGAGTTGTAATCTTTTTTTAAAGTTTTTTTTTTTTTTTTGAAAACGTATTGTAAGAATTTTAATGGCTTATGCAGTTCTTTTGCCATTTATTTCTCACACTTCTTCAGGTGGTCTTCCGTGCAAACTAGAGGGTATTATTGCATCTCCAATTGTAAATGGATATCGTAACAAGTGTGAATTTTCGGTTGGATATTCTCTGGAAGGCAAAGTGACTGTAGGTTTCATGCTTGGAAACTTCAGGTAATCTTACTCTGTTTCTAGAATGTATTTCATGTAAGTTGTTAGTTGTATACTAAAATATTATAGCAGGGAAGGTGTAACAGCAGTTGGGGAAGCGGTGGACTGCCCAAATGTTTCAACAATTGCTTGCAAATATGCTACAATCTTTCAGGAATTTCTGCAGCACAGTGATTTACCAGTTTGGAATAGATTTAAAAATACTGGGTTTTGGCGTCAATTGACGGTATAATTTTGCTGCACTTCTTGGTGTTGAAGTTTTAGGGTCACATTTGAATATGTTACATGTTTATTTCCATTTTCTTATATATTTCTTACCCTTTTTGAAGCTTTTCTTCTTCTTCATATTTCTCTTGCAAGGTTCGAGAAGGGAGGACAAATGGGAATGTTGTTGATGCTGAAGCTTTTGGTGGTATTGCAGAAGTCATGCTTATTGTGCAGGTAAATTTCTACTTTTTTAAATTTCTTGGTAAATGTGCTGGTAAAAAAATGGTGTTGTAACACCCTTTGGGGTGGGCTGGGGATGGGTGATGGTTTCTTGTCCGTAATCTACAAGGCTAATGTGATTGTGAACATTTAGATTGAACGGACTGATGAGCCAAATTAATCTGTACTGATATTATCATATAAATTGTAAACTTGTGGTATGATTTATATAGGGAGACAGGACCCCTAATTACCAGAAGCTTATGATTTGTATTCCTCCTTTCTTTTCATATCTCGTTCATAACTCTTTGGCCTTGATTATAGGTTTCTAGTGCAAGCTTTGATGATGCAAAAGTAGCTGCTGAATTCAAGAGGCTTTCTCAGGCATTTGTTGCCGGAGCTACTTCACATTGTCCATCATTACCCCTTACAGAAACACTATTATTATTCCTATTATCTTAATCCAAATTAAATAAATGACCACTTTGTTTCTCATGATTTTTTCTTTTCTATATTGATTCATCTGTAGCGACTTTAGTTCTGACTTCGGTCTATGTAATATGTGCATATATGTTGTTTCATTTGTATCTCATGAACAAAGAAGAAAAAAAGAAGACTAAAATTAAATAATTCGCAGGTTTTTAATGAAATTAAAATTTAGCAGACATAAGATTACCATAAACTGGGAGTTACCTTTAGAACTTGGTGCATATTTGGTTCAGTCTATTTTGGAGAAATAATCATTTATTTATATCAGCTTAATGAGAGACGATTTGAAAAATAAGAAATTCTTTTTTGGAAAATTAATCTTTTCCAAACATGTGCAGTAGAAAGATACCAAATTTTGTGGTCATTGATCAAAATTTTAGTTAGTTTAATCACTCAAGTTTTCTTTGTATGGATCCCAGGAACACATACTGGAAGCCTACACAAGTAGCTTCAAGAAATGATTTTCGCCTCCCAATGACTAGCTCAGCGGTAAAGATATGGTAGTTGGTGTGTTATGATATTTAATGGTGTGTTATGATATTTAATTTTCTAAAGGACTTCTAATATGGTAGTTGGTTTTATGTGTAGGATCACCAAGGAATATCCAATGTGGCGCCAGCTGATGCACCACTGCAATTGCTTCCCATTCGTAAAGCAGTTGGTGTTCCTGAGATGGATGAAAACACTAATGCCATGGATGTAAGAATCCATGATTATATCAACAATCTCCGGTTCTCTATATCTCCAACAGCTTTTTTTCAGGTTGGAATAGCAATCATTGTTTTGCCTAGTTTTCAGGGCTATATTTTCCCTTCTATATAGAGTTTTTGAATGTACTTCTACTGCAGGTTAACACTCTTGCTGCTGAGAAGTTGTACTCACTTGCTGGAGATTGGGCATGCTTAGGTCCTGATACACTGCTGTTTGATGTATGCTGTGGGACAGGAACAATTGGCTTGACATTAGCACATCGAGTTGGTATGGTAATAATCATCATTTTAAGTTCCTTTCTTTTTTCTGGCTTGCAGTTCTTGTATCTGGGGCATTTGCTGTTAATGTGCCCCTTTGGAAAGTGAAAATATAAGATGTAATGATTACTTTTGCAGAGGTCAAAATATAATCAAACTGGAGTTCTTGCAAAATTCCTAATTTTTAAAAATTGGTTGAGCCCTATTTATTTTAATTTATTTTTCAGGTGATTGGAATTGAAATGAATGCTTCTGCCGTATGTGATGCACATAGGAATGCTGAGATTAATGGCATAAAAAATGTTAGATTTATATGTGCGAAGGTGAGATAAGCAGTCTTGATTTTAAATCCTGGTTGAATTATTTAATGGATGCTGCCTAGAAAAAGACTGGAATTTTTAGTTGATGTCACCTGTGGCCCTGAAAGTTTTATCTCACGGAAATATTTTCTTTAGATTCATTTTTTGACTTGTAATATTGCACTTTTGCATGCTGGCTTTATATGAGGCAACAGGCAGAGGACGTGATGGGATCTCTGTTAATGGAATATCTAAATATGACTAAGGAACAAGTTGATGATCCTAATATCTCTGGAAGTGGCAATGACATTCCTGAGGATAGTGCCTGCCCAGAGCCTGAAAATGGTGAAATGGCATCTCATTGTCCAGAAAATAACAATGCAGAAGTTGGAAGTGAGGTTCAGAAGGGTAGCACCTCTGAACAAGTTGATGAGATCTCTGAACAGGCAGAGGATGTGATGGGATCTGTGTCGAGGGATGATTTAAATGTTGCAAAGGAACTTAGTGATGATCCGAATATCTCTGGGAGTGGCAATAACATTCCTGTGGACAGTACCTGCCCAGAGACTAAAAACAGTGAAATGGCATCTCGTTCAGAAAACAACAATACAGAAGTTGGAAGTGAGGTTCAGAAAAGTAGTACTCCTGAAAATGGGAATACTTCCATGCAACAGTTCAAAAATGTTGTTGCTATTGTTGATCCTCCACGTGCTGGACTTCATCCTACTGTAAGAACCATATACTCTATATGCAAGTGATTATAATTGTTATTAATATACTGAATGGTCCGAAACATGGCATTTCCCATGAAATTTTCGTTTAGTTCCCTTGTCTAGCTGTCACCCCATTTTGAAAAACCATAGAGAGCAATATTACTTGGTGGTCCACTACAATGGCATTTCCCAATCCCCCCGTTTTGGTGCAACAACACCTTTCTTCTCTAGAACCAAAAAGAAAAATAAATACAAAAATCAGTTCACTTTCGCTTAACATTTGACTATGTGATTCCACGCATCATTCATTATCTGGTTTTGTGTGGTCATGTTCCACAATTCTATAGGGATGATTATTATATATGAACTTTCTTTACATGCCATTGGTCCAACATGTCTTTTTATTGGAATATTTTTCTTATTCCAATTGATTGCAGAATACAGTACAAATATATGGTGGTCTTCTTGCTGTTGAATTTCTAGGGGATATTTTTTGAATGTTAATATTTAATTTAAATTTCCAACTTTTGAATTTTGGGATCACAGGTGATCAAAGCTTTGAGAACTCATCCAGGCTTGCGGAGGCTTGTGTTAGTTGTTCTGAACTCTACTATTTATTATTTAAAGTAACTTATACTTTTCTATGCAATCTATTTGATTGTGCACCTCTAAATGCAGTTACATATCCTGTAATCCTGAATCATTGGTGGCAAATGCTATTGAGCTTTGTACGCCATCCCCCGCAAAAATTGAGAAAGGAAATAAAGACAACAGAGGATGGAGAAACATGAGCAGTGCTGGTCTAGCACGGCATAGGGCCAAGTCTATGCCCATCTCAGAGGCCTTCCATCCCGTAAAGGCTATGGCTGTTGATCTTTTTCCACATACTCCACACTGTGAATTGGTTATGCTTTTTGAGAGGTAGGTGGACCAGACACTTTTTTATATATGCTAAGTTCCCAAATTTCATTTATCCGACATTTTTTGGCGGCACTGTAACTGGTGGTTGATTTTAGTGTTTATTATATTTTGATCTTTCGCACTGTTTCAGCTATAACATGATTTCCTTTTTGCTGCATGTATCATGAAGCATTATCTACGTCTTGTCTTTTTCCTGTGGACATTTTTTTTAATATTTTGGCGCCTGATATTCTATGCTCTTAGAGCATCAGTGATAATAATAATAATACACCAAGATCTCCCATTCTCTATCATTCATTTTGGATAAACCCAGAGTTGGGTACGGCTGTGTATTATCAGAAGCAATTCTTTAGAAACGCTGAAAATTCTTTTGGTCTTTTTTAGGGTGTTGTTCTTAAGGAAACTCGTATCCGATTATTCTTTTTCTATCCACATTATTTTTAGTAAAGTGCCTTTTCCTTTGACAAACATAAATAGATCCTTATGAGCATACTGTTAAACCCGCACTTGAAGCTACCATTCTGGCCTGACAGGAAAACCCGTTTTGACTGATACGAGTTTGTATATAAGTTTTCTCCGAGGGTTTGGGAATATTACTCCCTTTATCTACTATGCGGTATTTTTTTTTTATAATAATTTTAAAATATGAAGTATTTCTTGTAGTTAAATAATTTAAATTAACACTAATTAAGTAACACTTAAAAGTTATATTTAATTACAAATATAATTTAGTCATTATTTCAAAGTTTTTTTTCCTTCTTATTTATTAACTTTTATATATTATTTGAATTATAATATTATTAATAATATGAAATTTAATTTATTTAAGATAAATTAAAATCATAAAAAAATATCATGGGTTTTCCACATGTTTATCCGATATAGCCCGACGGAAATGGAGATGAACATTAAATGTTATGCATATATTATTTGGGAGTAGAAAATCTTTTGTAATATCCTAATTGAAATGTAAAACGTGTTATGGACATTAAATACTATAGCATTTTATAATAAATTTTAGGGTGTGCATATATTCACACAAGAATTTCGTATTACCTTAAGAATTTTAATAGGTGCATTGTGCAAGGCATGGGTGGTAGACAAAAATTACGAACGTAATTGGTTTAAGTGTTCCGTGTTGGCTTGGCTTACTCACTAATTAGTAAATACTCTGTTGGAGATGAGTCACTTAGCGTAGCTGCAATTATTTAATATTTAGTGGGCAAACATCTAATTTTTCTATTTAAAGCTGATAAAAAGAGTTGTTGACCCTGTCACCTGTGGCACACTCATTTGGACTTGTGGTGAAATCAGAAACAGGTCCTAGAACTTTTGACAAATGGAGTTACAGTACTAGACTACTAATTGAGATATTTAAATTAATTATTTCGGGCTGCTACTTTCTGGCAGGCTGCTAGTGCTGTCATTATCAAACAGATCAAACTAAACAACTCAATAATTTTACAACAGGGGATGGAATTTCTCAACTCAAAAATATTCACTGAATCTAAAGTCTTACTGCATCGGTTGCTTCTTAACCTGTATTTGGTATCGATTTAACGTCAAAATGGTTGAATTATGTGAAAATTGATATTTATAGCTTCAAATTGGACGTGAAAAATTGTGAATATAAACACATACTTAATTAATTTTGAAAATTTTAATGTTTCTTTCAAGTTTTCTTACAAAGTTATGAAAATGATTTTTTAATGAATTAATTTTACCACACGTTCAAGAAATGATACACGTACAACAAATAGGAGATTTTTTTTTATAAATATAATAAGTAATGCAATAGAAAAATAGACACGAAAACTTTACTAGTATTTTAATTTGTATAAATTGTTACGCGTATATTACTCTTTTCTAATTACATTTTAGAAAACTAGTTTCTAAAATGTTTGCAACCTGAAAAAAAAAAAAAAAGTGGAGAAGACAATGCCGGTGAAGGAAAAAAATGACAAAAAGGAAGAGGGAGGGGGAAGGGTATTTTGAAAATTGACAAAACAGTTATGTAGTAAAGTATGTGTATGTGGGTGCTTTTTCCAATTTATAATTTTATACTATGATTTGTCACTTTGGTCTTACTCTAGATGTAACTCCTAGTAATTTTTTACATAAAGCTTTTGATCAATTCTTTTTATAATTTAAAATCTATTCAAATTCTTATGATTATATTCCTTTTCTATTTTATTATAAGTATTTCTCTTCCTTTGTTAGTGTTTCTTTTGGCTGGTCTGAATTGGAAATAATACAATTTCAAACTATTCAAATTATTTTCCATTTTTAGTTGTTGACGGACGCAATATCTCCTTCACCACTTTCAATTTTCCTTGAGTTCACTCACATATTGTTATACTTTATTTAGTTAAGTAATTAAAAATATTTTTTTAATTGAAAATCAGTCTATAAATACAGTATAAATCATAGTAAGGGTGTGTTAAAATCACTTTTAGTTATAGAATTAATTATCTATACACCGTCATTAATAGTATCTTTTTTATTTTAATTTAATTAAATGAGCAGATAAAAAGACACTATTAACAGCTCTGATTAACTGCCAGTGTAAAAAAAATTTACACTGATAATGTATAGGTGATTAACTCTTAGTTATATATACACTTTTATTCCTTACATTTTTCATTTTATTTTTCAATACTTTGTAATAACATCTACCGTGGGTCCCTTTTTCCACTACATAGGAACTTAAAAGGCAATTCGTTTTTGATATTTTATTCCATCATTTTGCTTCCATCTCCATTAGTAAATATGACTCATGATTTGTTTATTCATAATTATTGCCCATGACATCATTTCTATTTGTATGAAAGCATTACTGTTAAATTTTGTTTGAGATTGAAATTTAATTATTATAAAAGATTCCGCAAAAGATAAAATTGAGATGCTAAGTGTATTCATGTTGCCTTTGGTAGGACAAACACCACAAAAACTCGGAAATTAAATCGATAATGTGCTTGAAAGTCTTAAGAGGATGTTATTGATATTTATTTTGCTTTGAGATTAAACTCATTCTTTAAGACTAGTGCACTCTTTCATCAGCTTACTTTATCACCATTTTGCTCTAAGGCCTAAAATATTTTCTGACCCTAAAGTCCACGTCGCTCTCCTTTGCTCTAACCTTACTCCAAAAAATAACATCTGTAAACTTCACTCTTTTTTAATGTTATCCAAAATGCTAAATTTGTTTGTGAATGTGAACAATGTGACCATTTGAGCATCATACCCACCCTAGTACATCACTATAAATATCCATTGAGCAATCACTTTTAATATTTTATCTTATTTAATAATGTTTTTGTTATTGGATCGTTTAATGAACTATTTAGCATATTAATTAAAGGTTGAATAGTCCAACTGTAATTAAATTGTGTTAAATTAATATTATTAAAATAATAATAATTGAATAATACATATAATGATATTAAAAAATATATATAGTATTATAAGTTTATAATACTAAAAATTAAAAACAAGACGTGAATTTTATGCATTTTTAACTTTTTAAGTATATACAAGTGTTCTAATTATATTAGTTTATCGATATGCATCCATTTTTGAGCTATTGTAAACCATTTATTGACTTGATTTTTTTTTTTTTATAAAAAATTGACTGATTTTTTGTTAGGCATGATCAGTGGTTTAATTGAATTACTCGAGTGACCATTTGATCAATTCTTTGAAAATATCAATTGGTTTGATTTGATTTTCAAAACAGTTATTTAGAGATTCGTGTGAAAAGAACTAAGAAAATATAAGAATAATAAGATTAAAATAAGTTAATTTGCTACGAAACATGTTTTTTGTAATCACTAAAGCAGTATAATGTTTTTTTTTTTTTTTTTCTGACAGAACTAAAGCAATATAATAAGGGAAAGGGACCATCTTCTTATCTCATTTTTTCGTGTGTAATTGTACATGAATTGATATAATTTATTTTAGATTAATTTTATTTATCATGTTTTTGATATGCATTAACAATCACACTTTATCTTAAATTTACATCAAATTGACAAAATGAAGCAAAAAAATAGTATAATCTACTTATACGCGAGTCTACCGCCGTCAAATGGACAACTAAACACACAGTTTATAGAATTGATCGTAGTTAAAATTGTTTTTAAAATAACATGATTTTTTGAATGACAAATGTTAGAAAAATGCTTTTTAAGAAAATGTATTAAAATTGGATAAAATAAACAATAAAAGTATTAAATTAACGTAAGCACATATCAAAATCAAACACAAGCATATCTAAATTATAAAAGTACAAATATAATGTAACATGTAATGAGATAAGAAAATTTTCTTTTAAGTTAGGCGTAATATGTTATTAATATATTTTAAATTATTTAACTATATTTATTAATTTAGATTAATAATAAAATTTTAATTTTAATTTTAGGCTAACCTATCAACCTATTCTTAATTCGGATGGTACGATTTTCAGTCCACAATCACTGGACAGACTGGTTAAGATGGAATTGTACCATTTTACTATGCTTTTTTTCTCTATTGAAAGATTTATTTATTTTCTTTCCTTTCATACAAAACAACCTAAATTTAAATTAAATAAAGTTTCACTCAAATCAGTGTAATTGACCACTAAACCTAACATCCACTTCAACCATTCCGCAAAGAAAACTACAATGTTTTACACCTTTTCAAGAGAATTAGGAGCAATCGAGATCTATTAAATATAAGACAAAGACATTTCCCTAACTATAAGGTCCAGACTCCCTCTTTGCCCCTCCAACACCTCATTAATCCTATGAATCTTGCCTCTCCAAAACAAATTTAAAATCTTGCAAGCTGTAATAGTGGTAACAAATCACACGTGCTTCAAGTTTACACAGAAGAATCAAGGCATTAGGGAAAATGAATGAACAATAAAAAGAGGAGCATTTATGGTGCCATGATATCTCAACAATCATGACTTTTCATTTCACTATTGTGAAAATGAATTGATTGGTGCATGACGGTGGCTATTCTTCTGGCCCATATTGCTTCTCATCCATAAATTTAAAGGGACACGTCACATTTAGAGGACTCTAAAACCAGCTAGACTATTAATCATTATAAACATGAAGAACAAACAAAGTGAATATGGTACATTAGCATATCATGTTTTAAAAGTGGCTGGATTCGTGAACTTCAAATTAATGTGACACATAAAAATGTTACCATGTGTGTCTCTCTGAAATAATCATTATGTTTGCTATAATTTTGAAAAGGTTACAGAAGGGGAAGGATTCTCTTGACTTGACTGTTGAATTCTTTAATTTCCTCATATGATGACCACAATATGGTATAAGCATCTCGTGGCAAAAGCAAAAGTGAAGGTTTTGATTAAACTTAAATAATCATATGAGCTTTCTACCTTTGTTTGATACTTTAATTCAAAACTGTCTGGAAGCAAGGAAAGGAGAGAAAGGTAAAAAGGGTAATCTATCTTTACAATAATGCATGGAGATAACAAAAAAAGAAGAAAACCGATCTCATTTTTACCCTGCATGAAGGTGATAGAAAAGCACTCAGATTAATATATTGTTATCAAAATAACACGAGTTTTGGTGCTATTCAGTAAGGTATCTATCAGTGACTCAGTGTCTATTTATTATATATTAATCCTGCGTGCAAGAATTGACTAGAAATCTGCTTGAAGTTGATATAAGAATTTATTTTCTATTAAAAGAAAAATGGATGCAAAGTACAGGCACCTTTTTTGATATGTAGTGGTACAGTTAAATGATGCCTAATCATACGGTTCCTAGTAAAAAGTTATTTTGTGTTAAGATATTATCAAATAAATCCACTAACTATATATGTGGGGTTGGAGTACACTGCTTTTGCTTTCTTTCTTAAAGATCTCAAGTTGATTTTCTTTTCTTCTTCTTCTTCTTTTTCCTGTTCCTTCATATGGCAGTTGGCACTTGATTCTTTTCATAATGCAGGCAAGGCAAGTACTCAAACAAAAGAAGCGGGGTCTCTTGAAGATCATACATATAACATATGAATGTTCAAGGACATTAGAGGTAGCTCCAATTTCGTAAATGTTATATTCATATCATATAAATATAAATTCAATTTTGTTACAAGTGGCCTAAGCTTAACCGTAATGCACATTCTGTGGTGGCCACGAAATCATAATTATGTATCCTGTGAAAGCGGCTGCACATAAATTTTGTCTACCCATCCCATCATCTTTCTATTTCTTTTTTTTTTTCTCTGATAAGTAATATTTTCATGTACCGTATAATAATAATAATAATATATTATATATCTCATGTGCTTGTGCATAGAATTTCAAAGGCGAATATAACCAGAAATTCTCCACTGCTTGATAGAGTGAATTTATGCTATTCTTATTCTTTTCAATGGTTAGTTAATTCGTGGTGATCGAATTTAATGGAGTTTTCTTAATAATATATTTAATGTTATCAGAAAAATAATGCTCCAACTCCTTCAACACGAAACTGCATGCACATAATATTTTCATTTTAGCTACCTGTCTGAAGAAACTATCTCACCATAATTGCGTGAATCCAAAGTGATTTGGTGAATGATCCCCAAAACAGGAACAAATATTTGCGTCACTTCCCTGCCTTCAACACCACACTAATCTCATCCATAAAAGTTCCTTTAAAAAGTAACTACTCGTAGGTGGGGTATGGAGGAGATATACTAGTTTACTAAAATACTTTGCATGAATTTACACCACTAAACTAGTCCTTACCAACTCACACGTTATTCTTTTAAAAATAAAAATATTTGTAATTAATATATGCAGTTCATTTTAATCAACTTTTGTTGAATCTCGAAAATTCAAAGTCAGGAAAAAATATTTATTTATTTTATATTAATGGAATATCTTGGTAATTAATGAAATATTTCCTTCATATGTTTTAATTAAATTAGCTCTGCTATTTATGAAAATGCTAGAAAAACTTTATATTTATTCATGATAATGATCAAATTTAATAATAGAGAATTATTCCACAAAACTTTATATTTTATGTCTGTAAACTTTTAAAAAAGATTAATTTTTCATATTTATAAAAGTATTACTTCTTAATAATGAAAAATAAAATCATACTTTAATTTAAATAATAATATATTCAAATTAATTTAGAAATAAATGCACTCTTTATTCGTTTTTTAATTTAAAACTCAGTTAAAAAGATATTGAATGTCATTCATCTTGGGAAGTTGAGAGTCAGAGGAGGTGTAAATGTGATTGCATCTTTTCAACTATTTCTTTTCCTCTCCTAACTTTCTCTGTACTCCTTTATTATTTTACGTTACTGCCGTGGGGAATTAAGATTTGTTCTGCAAAAAGTGGACACATAAATATAATAATTTGAGTAATGCTACCTACATTAATCTCATTATATTACAATATGTGGTACTATTTTTTTTGTTAATATAGTAAACATTATCTGCACATTTTAACAGTGGCGAGTAAGAAAAAATTATGAAATGTGAGTGGTAGCAGATCATAGGGCAGTGTACCCCACTAACTGTGTAATAAATGTCAAAACTTGGCCTTTGTGCTTAATCACAGTCACTTCCTCTTATCTTTGTAACCCATATTTTAGTTGTCTCTGTCATCACTCATCTCTTCTTGCATGCACCAAGCAATAAGTAAGTGGTATGGGTATATAATTGGTGTCTCAAAGGACTCAAATTTATTTGCAATTTTGCTTGGTCTAGGAATTCCAATTTCTGGTTTGATTTTTTTTTTTTTTTTGCTACAGCAAAATGAGAACAGAGGAAAAGCCTGTGAGTGAGGAACATGATGCAGGTCCTTGCAGAAGAACAGTTTCTCTTCCAGTTCAAAAGGTGCCACTTTCCGTTATTCATTCTGCATCTTCTTTTGCTTCAATCTGCGGCATGGGGTCTGATTTTGTTTCAAGGACTAATCACTATTTTAAACTTCTGAATATATATATTTTTTTCCTTCCATTACCTTCTAGTTGTTTTGGTTTTGTTTGGGTGATTGATGATTTTTCAGAATGAGATTTCACAAACTTTTCTGTTACTTGAACTAATCATTGTGAACAGTCATTCTTTTATATATATATATATATATATTCAATAATTAGGTTCCTTTTTGGACTAATATATATCTATGGATATATTTTAAAATACTCGGAGCTTGATCTGTCAACTGCATCTGTGGGTTATGTTATTGTAGTGTCTTATTTCATTGTGTGAATTTTATTCCTTTTAATTGGTAACGTGTTTGTTCTCTTTTATGTTGTGTGTGCATGAAAACGGTCTGCAACAAGCGTCAGCTACTTTTGTTTTTTTCCTCCATATACTTCGAATTATTCAGTTGAATGTGTCATAAGTAGTCAGCAACCAGACACCCAGAAAACCTAGTTGGATAGAAACGTGAATCTGTTGAAGCATCTACTAATTTACTAGCAAATATACAACACTAAGTAATTTGCTCAAAATTTCTTATGCACTTTGATTTGAATGTGGGATCTTCTTGTTATCCTCCATGGTATTGGATATTATCACAACTGGGATCTTCCCAGAACAAGAAAAAGAGTTGATTTAATGATTGTTGGGATGCATTACACTTTCCTACTTCCTGTTGTTAACGGAAGCAGTTTATGAGCTTGTTTATATTTTCATCAAAATATAAGTATAAGATTCAAGGGAAGAATTCATTTAAATAGTTATATAACTTTTAATCACTGTTATATGCTTGTGCTATATTAATCTGAATTTTGAAATAAAGGATCTCTGTCATTAATATTGGTGGTTCTGTCTTTTAACTGTATATTTGATTCTTCTTATAATTCATTTGATACATGCGCCACCATGCAAATTTTTAATCTATGAGAACATGTTTTTTGCGTTGTCTTTTTATTGTTTACAAAATTCCATGTTTCAAAAATAAAGCAATTTTTTGGCAAGTGAGGAGGTGAGTTAATGGAGAGGCTGGAGGGAGAAAGATTCTGGTTATTAATAAGGCGGATAAATTCAACAGCCCTTTTTCAAATAGTCTAATTCTGTTTTAGTTTGGTGACTTTCAAGCTATGACTAGGAAGAAGATTGAGCGACTACTTTGATAATTTTATTAAGTGTTCAGTGTAAAGTAGTTTACATGTATTTTAATGCCTGCATCACTTATTTTATCAATTCCATATTTTATTTATAGGTTGATGATGCAATGGGGATAACTGAAGAAACCACACATGTTCCTCCTCGGAAGCGACAGAATCTTCTCCTAGAAATACCCTCAAGAACAGAAGAGTGTTCTCCAGATTTTGTTGCAATCAAAATGCCACCAACACCAAGTTCCAATCCCACTCCTACTCCAAAGAGAGTGAATTTTCTTGTGAGTTCTCGCTCTGTTGATGCTCCATCAAATAATTCTCCTGGACCTTCAACATCAAGAAGCAGATCATCCATAAGAAACCTCCTTCCAAAACTGAGCTTCAGGTATCGAACACCAGCAGATACTGAAAAAGCAAATAATGCAGCTCCAGAAGTATCCTCTTCAGGCATTGGAGAAAAGCCTTCAATCTCGAGATCATTGTCTCTTACTAAGATATTTACTCCTAGGATTAAGAGAACCTCATCATTGCCTCTAGATGAAATTAGACAATCTAACACTGAATCTTCTCATGGTGGAAGTGTTGGTGGCCCTCTAAATGTGAGATTTAGCAATGCTTTTTAAGTTCCCTTTTATGGAATTATATATTTGGCAGTCATTGTTGCTAAATCTTACATCATAAAACCAACCTTTGTTTTAACCTGTTAGTTCCTTTTACAGAAAAGAGAAGCCCAGCAGAAGATAGCTCGCTCTCTTTCAGTACCTGTCAACAACAAAGATAAAAGCCTAAGGAGAATGGATTCATTTTTTCGTGTTGTTCCTTCCACTCCTCGAGTAAGGGAAGGAAATGAATTGTTGGCCTCGCCCACGACAAATGATACTGGTATCTCATTATAAGCATTTGCATTTGCACTCATGAAAAATGGTAGAATTTTGTATGTTAACTAAGATCCCTCCGGATTGGCACATTTATTATTTGCCAAACATTAGTAGTATTAACACCTTGGTAAAAATGATGACAGATTCTGCTACCTTAAGGCAGATTGGAATACTCGCTCTCATGGTCTCAAACTGTTTTCTTTTCTTTTTTTCTTTTTTTTAAAACTTTTTTCCAACTTTCTTTGGTGTCATTTTGATTTAATTTCTAATTTTAGAACACTCACTGTTTCATATGCTGCATGCAGTTTGTAACTTGTCTTAAATTCTTTCATGGTGCAGAAAATGAAGATTCTAATGGTGAAGATATAGCAGAAGAAGAGGCCGTGTGTAGAATCTGTCTGGTTGATTTATGTGAAGGAGGTGAGACCTTCAAGTTGGAATGCAGCTGCAAAGGTGAACTTGCTTTGGCTCACCAAGAATGTGCTATTAAATGGTTTAGTATAAAGGGTAACAAGACCTGTGATGTGTGCAAGGAGGAAGTTCGGAACCTACCTGTCACTTTATTACGGATCCAAAGTGTTCGAAATCGGAATAATGGTGCAAATAGGTCTCAGCTGGATGATGTAAATGGATACAGGCATGTGCTTTCACTTTTGTTTGATAAATGATCTTTACTGATTTCTGTTGCATGAGTTATGACAATATGCTTCAATTAGGATATAAATGCATATCATAGAATCTTAATAGATCTTGATAGAAACCTGGTATCTTATAAGAAAAATGGGGAGGAACTCCCCAATCTACCAAACGCAAAACACACACTGCAGATCATTGAGGGTTTTGACCTCGCAATGTCCAAAGGCCTAATTTCCTCTCAAATGACATGATGCCTCCGTATTTTCCCCTCTCTAACTAACTTCTGACTAACTATGCCAACTAAGTAACTAACTATTAGGGTTATCTAACAGATTCATACTTTAATAATCTTGAATCACCATCCTGCCAATCATTTGTTATTTTACTAAATTTGTACTACTTTTCCATTGTTGTCACCGCTTTCACCGCTTTCGCGTATGCAAATGCAATAATGGTTAACACTAACTAAAAGACGAACCAACCAGTTTACTGTCATGCCTTAAAATTGAAACAATGGACTCGCATGCTATCTCAAGATTCAAACATAGTTTGTGATACAGACCATCCATGATATACTTGTGAAGTCAATAATTTTTCTTGGCGTTCTGCAGCCAGTACAACTGTATTGTCATACTCTTACAAGTGGAATAGAGTGTTCTTGTTGTATCTTTTTCATAACTTATTGTACTGTAGGTTATTACTAAAGAGTCACACTTTTAATTTGTATGCTCAATTTAATAGGGTATGGCAGGAAGTCCCAGTGCTTGTCATTGTCAGCATGCTTGCCTATTTCTGTTTTCTTGAGCAGCTCTTGGTAAGAACACCATTCCTCTCAGAACTTTCAAAGTTGCAATTTTTGTATAGGCTTAGTTATTCAACTCTCTGCAGGTTGGAAAGATGGGAACTGGTGCAATTGCGATATCTCTTCCATTTTCCTGTGTACTGGGTCTACTCTCCTCTATGACATCATCAACCATGGGTAGGTTTGCAAACATCGCTAAATATTGTCAAAATATACTTTTTTGGAGAACCCATCATCCTTTATAGGGAGTGTCTATTGTCATTTCGGTGCATCAATTGCCACTCATATTCAAATAGTTTTTAACTAGCTTATCCTTCTTCTCTGTTAAATAAGAGTGGTGATAGACACGTTGGAGTGGGAATGACACTAGACACTTCCTCTTTTATAGATCTATGATGGTGAATTAGTCAAAGTCATTTGTTTGTTGTAAATAGACCAGACATCCTGGAAACTGATTATATCATCTATTAATTTTCTTTATTGATGTAACGATTCCTGTTGTGACTTGTGACACTAAATGATTCTTTTATTCTCAACTAGTAAGTTGTATAGTTTTTTTATTCACAATGATACTTTTTGTTCTTTATTGCCAATTTAAATATTTCGTGATACCAGGTTGGTTTTACTGATTTATGCCAATCCTAACATTTTTCTTTTAAACTTTTCTGTCCAGTGAAGAGCAGGTTCATCTGGATTTATGCATCTGTCCAGTTTGCTCTGGTGGTTCTCTTTGCACATATATTTTACTCCGTGGTAATGGATTTTTGTGTAAATTAAATTCTAGTTACCTGTATTTTTCATTTGAAACCAAGTTTGACAATATTTGATGAGAAATAAATGATCAAATGAATAGAGTGCTAGGTTTTTATCTCTAAGATAATAGTGCATCCGATATGGTACAGATGAAATTGTACCCTCTCAAAATTTTCATAGTAACATGACGGTTTCTTGGGTGACATAATGGAACAATATATATCTAATCTGATTCTAGCTAAGTTCTGGTTTATGCGTATCCTGATTCCAAAGTCCAGTCATCACATTCTGCTTGTGCAGCATGCTTGGTTGGTTATTGATGCCCCAACATGTAGTGTAGAAGGCTAATCATTCTGATTTCCTTTAATGTATTTTGTCTCCTTAAGGTTCATGTGCAAGCAGTTCTGTCAATCCTTCTGGCCACATTTGCTGGTTTTGGTGTGGTGATGAGTGGGAGCTCTATTCTTGTGGAGTTTTTTAGATGGAGGAGAAGATTGCAGGCTTCATCAGAGCAGCGACACGGCCCTCCATTGATGCCACAAGCAGCACAAACTCCACGAACTTCAAACACGCCACGTCCAGGTTCAGGTCCTTCCAACCACAGTCAATCTGTGGTGCAAAATGAACAAAACTCAAATCAGAGTTGAATTGATGTGTTTGTGGCTTCTCTTAACACTTGGAGTTTTCAAGCTGGAATTTGAAGTACTTATTGTGTATAGGGAATTAAACTTCATTACATCTTTAATAGAATTCATTGTACAGCTTATGGTAGCAATAGAGTGACTTAGAATATAGCTACTCATGCTATGGAATTTCTGTTTATTTATTTGTACTGGGAATTTCAATTTTCAGCACATTAAAACCAGAAGGCTTCTAGCCTTCTTTTTTGTAGTCTTGGGTGAGAGAGATAATGATTTTGTTTTTGGTCAGAGTGATGAGGAAGTTTTGTTTGTTGGTTTGTCTTGGAGGTTTGATCATTGATGGGCCAATACCACATGTAATGATGTAGTAAATTGAATGAAGCTTTATTCCCTTGCACTCTAGGACTATAGCAGATTTTCCACATCTACACTGTCCCCATGCAGCTTTTGGAAGAAACACTTGAATTGTATAACACGTTACTGGTACATGTAAAGCTACCACTACATTTTAGCAACTTGTTATGTTACAAGAATAATTGACAATTACTTTTTGTGGGGGGAAATTTGTGAAAGATATATCTTTCTTAGAAAGGAGGAAATCTCTAATCTTTATTCTATTATGTACTGATTGGGTTGGTGTCTAATGATATGTATGTATGACACGATCATTGCGAAACTTTTTGTGACACGTAGTCTTTGTCTGTTTGCCATGTTGTTTTTTGACTAAAGAGTGTTTGCCATAATCTATCAGCAAGATAAAGAAGCTGCTTTATTCTATTCAAGCTGACACTGAATTGTATTATCTACTTTATGTACTATGCTTTCCCGTTTGTTTTTGGAAGTATAAGAAATCGTGTCAGCGGTTTGACACTGACACAACTTAGTTGCACATTTAGTTACTGGAATATGGAGCAGG